GCGGAGCGCCGCTGCCCACAGCTGCCACGCAGGCGGTGGCGGACCCACGGGAGCGGTGCCCTCTTAGGCGGCTCGGCGTGCAGGCAGTCCTGCGGCGCGAAAAAGAAGCCCGCAACGCGCACACACACGTCCCTAGGTCCAAGGCGGGAGGCGCGCAGTGCGGCGCGCCGCACCTCGTTGAGGGAGCGGGCGAGGCCGATGTCCTCGTCCGTGAAGAACGCCGTGGCCAGGCCCTTCTTGCCGGCGCGGCCCGTGCGGCCGATGCGGTGCACGTAGTCGTCGATGTCCTGACAACAGCCGCGCGGGAAAGGGAGGGGCGAGGGGCGAGGGGAGGGCGGCGTCGGGATCAGTACCATCGCAAAGCGGTCGCGGGCGCTGCCGCTGCCAAATCGCGGCGGCAGCCGGCCGTCGGCGGCGAGGCACGCGGTTTTCTTTCGACCCTGGGACCGGGGCCCCTAGGGCGCCGCCGGGGAAAGGCCGCCGGAGGGAGTAATCACCTTGGGCAGGTCGTAGTTGATGACGTGGGTGACGTGCGGGATGTCCAGGCCGCGCGCCGCCACATCGGTCGCCACCAGGATGCGGCACTTGCCGCTGCGGAAGGCGCGCAGCGCCTGCGGGGCGGGGCGCAGGAATCCAGGTGAGCGGGCTGCGCGCCAACCGCAGAGCCTGGGCGGTGGTGATCCCAACGCAGCCCCCTGGGAATCAGCAGCTCGTCAGATCCCCATCACAACCAAGAACGCGCAGCCCCCGCCCCAACCCCAGCTTGGCGGCTATGCAGGCCACGGCTGCAGCACGCCGGCGCCGGCGCCGCGCGCGGCTGCGGCTGCGGGGGGCGCGCACCATCTCGCGCTCGGCCTGCGTCTTGTCCCCGTGGATGGAGGTGGCGGGCAGGCTGTGGCGCAGGAGGTAGTCCTCCAGCTGGTCGGCGCCGCGCTTGGTCTCAACAAACACCAGCGTCAGGCCCTGCGGTTGTCGGAAAATCCAGGATCCATGTCAAGTAAGTAACCAGAAGCCGGGGCGATGCGGCTGCCACGGCAACAATCGACTGCGCTGCGCGCCTGGCAGCCCCGGCAGCGCTCTCGGCTCTGACTGCATAGGAGTGTGCGGCCACTGCCCGCAGGGTTATTGCCCTTGCAGAATGTGGGGCCGCGCCCCCTTCCCCCCCACCCCCGATCCAGGCCGTCACCCTGCCCTGCCGCGCCGCACCTCGACCGTGTTGACGCAGTCGAGCACGGTCTCCTTCTTCTGGTCGGGCTGCATGTACTCGATGTGCTGCGCGATGAGGTCCGTGCTGCTGCCCACGCGGCCGACCGTCAGGAAGATGTAGTCGTGCAGGAAGTCGGCCGCCAGGCGCTGGATCTCCTGCGGTTCACAGCGTGAGGGCAAGGTTTTAGGTAGGGATTACGGGGGGAGTTGGAGTGGGAGAGGGGCGCCCTGACTGCTCGGCGAGCTGCGGGCGGGCGGAGCGCCCAGGGCGCCGACGCGGCCGGTTAGAAGCGCGCTGCTGGCAGCGCCGGCCCGGGGCTGCACTGGCCGGATGAGGCGGCGCGGCGGCCCGGGAAGGTGGAGGGGTGGGCGGGGGCGCGGCCGACCTTGGGGAAAGTGGCGGAGAAGAGCATGGTCTGGCGGTGGCCAGCCGGCGGCATGTCCTCGCCCTCCACGATGCGACGGATCTGGTGGTTTGTAAAATCGTTGCAAGCGACTTGACAACGTCAGAGACTCGGCATGCTTGGAAGCTGGTTCGGATCAGGCGGGATTCGAGAAATTTTGGTGCAATTGTAAGAATTGCGCAACTGCAGCCGGCGCAGGTGCTGACATCGGCTGTGTCAGGGCTGGGCTGTCATGGTGGGGCGCCGTTCACAGTTGCCTTGCAACCTGCAGAGAGGCCAACCCACTGCCCGTCACGCCCCGCTGCCCGCCCGCAAGCTGACGCGACCCGGTGCCATCGTCAACCCGCGGCTCTGTCCCCAACAACACCTCGCTGCGCGTGCGCTGACGTGAGAAATTCTGGTCAGCTCTCGACCCCCCCCCCCTCCCTTGCACCACAGCCTGGACGTGCGCCCCTGATCAACCCAGGGATCAACCCAGGGATCAACCCCACCTGGGGCTCGAAGCCCATGTCCAGCATGCGGTCCGCCTCGTCGAGCGCGAGGTAGCGGATGGCGCTGAGGCTCACGCGCGCGCGCTCGATCAGGTCCGACAGGCGCCCGGGGGTGGCCACCAGAATGTCGCAGCCGCGCTCAATCTCGCGCAGCTGCAGGGGCAGGGGCGGGCGGCGCGGGCGGGTCAGGGGCGTGGCGCAGCACCGACCTGCAGGCGGGGCGGCTGGAGCGGCGGCCAGCAGCAACGGGAAACTGCGACCGCGCGGCGGTTGGGGCGGCGTCGGCGGCCTGCGGCAGCGGCGGACGTGCTGACGCTTGAGGGGGAACGCACCTGGTTGACGACGGGGGCGCCACCGTAGATGACAACGGGGCGGATGCCGCTCTGGTAGCTGAACTTGCGGGCCTCGTCAAAGATCTGGCTCGTCAGCTCGCGCGTGGGCGCCAGCACCAGCGCGGCCGGGAAGGCCTGGGGGCAGGAACGAGCGGATGGTAGGTATGGGGTGAGGGGGCGGGGATCGGCTTCCCACGCGTCGCACGGACTGGCCGCCAGGGGCTGCCACCTACAAATCAACGTACGCGCATGGTTCAACTGCGCCGGCCGGTCGGCTCACACAGGTACGGGCGCTCGGGCGCCACCACAGGCCTCCCACACCGCCGCCGCGTCAGCCCTCGCCGCCGCTGAAGGGCGGCACCGGCACAGCCCCCGGCAACACCCCCCCCCCACCCCGCCCCGTGCGCACACCTTGCGCTGGCGGCCGGTGGGCTGGTAGCCCGACTTGAGCAGGCCGGCGATGATGGGGAAGCAGAACGCCGCGGTCTTGCCCGACCCCGTCTGCGCGCACGCCATCATGTCGCGGCCGCCGAGGCCGATCGGGATCGCGTACTTCTGGACGGGCGTGGGCTTGGTGTACTTGCAGCGGCGGATGTTGGCCATGAGGCCCTCGCCGAGGTCCAGCTCCTCAAAAGTGTCCACGTGCGCCGGCACGTCGTGGCCGCTGGTCTCGACGGGGATGTCCTCGTAGGCGTCGAAGTTGATGCCCGTGTTCTCCTTGCCAAAGACGGCGTCGGACTGCGGGGCGGGCGCGGAGGCACGCATGCGGGTGGGGAGGGGTGGGCGCATGCGTGAGCATGCTGCTGCGCCTCGCACAAGGGCTTGCTGCTGCGCCGCCCGCTTTGCTGGCCGGTGCGCCGCACGCTTGGAGAGCGTTGCTGTCGCCCGGCGTACGCAGCCACGAGGGGCTGAGGTGCCCACCTCGGCCTTGCGGGCCTCGTCCTGCTCAAAAGGGTCCTCCATCCTGCAAGACGGCAGCGGCGGTTGCGGCGTTGGCTGGCAGGTGGCAGTGCGCACATTGGCCGCGGGCGGGTGTGCGCCTGGAGCCGTGGGCGCCCTCCATATGTGTCAGCAAGAGTGGTCACCCATCTGCGGTTCACCAGGCCTGCTGCACAGCGCTTTTTACATGCTGGGGGCCCATGCGCAGACGCGATCACAGCAAAAAAAACTTGCGCGGCGCGCAGCCGTCGGCGTCGCGCATGCCCCGCCCGCTGCCAGGCTCGCTCGGCACTGGCCACCCCAGGAGCCCGCCTGATCGCACCGCAAAATCCTTCTAACCTGCCTGTGCATCTCCGCCCTCACCTGTCGTTAGGCCAAGCGCCCGGCCCAGCACGAGGCCCACCACCACCACGCCCGCCAAAGCCTCCGCGGCCTCCAGGAAAGCCACCACCGCCGTAGCCACCACGACGAGGACCACCAAAACCCGCACCATAGGGCGGGGGGCCGCCAAACTGGCCACCCATCATAGGGGGGCGGGGCCCCGGGGGCGCCCCGGGGGCGCCATAGGGCAGGGCGCCTGCCGGCGGGAAGCCACCCATCTGAGGCGGGAGCATGGGAGCAGTGCCTGAGCGCAGGTTGGGCGGCACATAGCGCCTGGGCTCGCCCGCAGCATCGGCCTGGGCACCCCAGTCAGCCATGGTTCAGCGATTTCGAGAAAAATAACGATAAACGGAGAGGCTGGCGGGGCCTCTGCCGTGAAATGAGGGCGGGATCGACGATCACAAATGTTTTACACTGGCGAAGTGGCTCCCAACAGTCAAGCGTTCTATGATAAGCCTGCAGTGGATGTACATTGTCTGCAAATTGATGCATATAGCAATCCCTTTGCTGCCACACCACCTCTGAAAAGTCCCTGAACGCCCTGGATCAGTGAAAGTGAGATCAGCCTTCCGTATCTTACCCTGCTTCCCGTGGTATACACGAATGCTCAGTAATCATAAGCTACAGCACAACCAAGTCAGTCCCCGCCTTGGCAGAGCGGCGGGCCTTGGCGCATGGGGCTTCTTTGCGGTGCGTTCTTGCGCCCCCTTCCATGCGCACGTTAGGAGTGGTCGCGGGTTGCGAATCTATCATCATCCTGTAGATAGTCACTTAGAGGGGCAATTCAGGGGAAGCAGCAAGCCAGAGGCATGAGCGTTGATAAGCAGCTAGGTTGACAGGTACAGTAGCAGGGATGGGCAGAGCATGTCGGGGTTGTGAGGTGCATGCAGCACGATGCGGGGGCGGGTCGCATCCGGTATGCGCAACGCGAAATGCGCAACATGGTGAAGATCGAGGTACAGCGGCATGGCTGAAGCACCGAGCCAATACTCGAGCAAATCTGCAGAAATGAGGAGGCCTTGCAAGCCGCTGCTGGACAAAGCTGAATACTGTAAATGGTGCAGACTGATATCGTGATATGCGCAACACTTTTGGCTACAACCTGTGCTCCTTTGTGCACAAGAGATAGTCCAGCTCCTCCGCACCATGTGTGGCTGCCTGCGTAATCAGTCTGCGAACGGTTCGAAATGGTCTGGCAGCAGCAAGCACCCCGCATCACCGGCAGTATACCAGCACGCGTGCAATGCTGATGCAGCACAGGATCAGGCTGCGCGGCTGCGCGGAGGAGGCATAGCAAGGTCAGTGCGGCTGTGCCCTCCAGGTTTGCACATGCCCTGCTGATGGTTTTGGTGTGCGCAGACCCGTCGCCAGCCGCCGCGTTGTGCTGGCTTGCTGCAAGCAGCAGTCAGCAGCAGTGGATAGCAGGGGCAGGCATCGGCTGGCACGTCATGCTGCATGCTCAAGATAACCAGTGCTATGGGCCCTGTAGCACTGGTATGATGGAGGACGGCACCAGAGTCTGTTCAGCAGTCACGACGGGGCAGGGGGGAACTGGTGTATACTTCACAGGAGCACAGAGGATCACTCGCATTACTGGCTAGTTGTTCAGACCATCCTGCCTGCTTGGTGGTGCAGCGAGTGAAACGTGTCGAAGAGAACTCCTGAACCGGCAATGTTGTTGCCACCCAAACACCAGATCTTGCGCGCTCAGAGCTGCCAACGGCAACCAACGTTGATGCCATTTTTTTCCACGCAAGGCTTCACACTTGGCCCCTACTGGATCATTACGACGACCACCTCGTCGACGGGAGCCGAGGAGGCACTTCAGCAGTGGAGATCAAACCCGATGCTGCTGAAGCCTATGCGAAGGTAGACGTGATGTCAGTCTGAGAGTCTTGTTGCGCTGGCACAAGCCTCAGCTCGTAGAGGGCCCAGCGGGTCGCGGGACAGCAGCAAGCAGGGCTCGTTTCTGTGAAGTCGTAGCTTATGAGTAGATGTTTTACGTGTTATGAGCGCGTGACGGAGCGCACGGGAAGCGGCCGAGCAAATGCTGGCTCCGAACAGAGCCAGCAACGCACCAGGAGCACGCACGGGCCCTTCAGAATCATGCTGTGGCGTAGCTAACTCAGTTGTGGCCCGGCAACGGCCAGTGGGGCCTCTCAGGTGTGGCAAAGGCACAGTAGCACGGTCTCGGTCGTCTGCAGCGGCCTTGTCTGTGTGATCAGGACGTTTTTACCTCAACAACACTCTCTAAGTGACCTCATCTCGCCGCTGACCACCCTGACGTGCCACTGCGCAGGCGTGCCTGCCCGCCGCGCCACCCGTGCCGCGCGGGTGAGCGGCCACGTGTCGACGCGGTGGCGCGTGCCGCTGCTAGCCGGACACTCACGCCGGACGCCGCGCTCGCCACCAGCCACCCTGGCGTGCACGAGATCTACGCCGATGCGCCTCATCACCACAATGACGTGGACGGGTGCGCCACCGACCACCCGCGTACTGCTTGGGGAGACAATGCCCCTGTGTCTGGCCGCTTGCGCACACCTAAGCAGGCTCGTGGGAGCGCCGTTGCCAGCAGGAGGGCAGGCACCGGCCGAAGGTTCGCAGAGTGCTGTGTGGCCACCGGTGGATGTGTTCCGATGAAGCGTTCATGGCCTCAACTTGCTGATTGTGAAACATTGATGTGGTCGCCCGGCAGGTGCTCCTTGGAGGTGCATGCGCTGGGGGCGCACCTCGCTCTGCCGCAGCGGCAGCACCGCCAGCGACGGCGGCTGCACGCGCCGCCCAGCGACCAGCTGCCGCTCGCGTTTGAGCAGCAGCAGGAACGCGAGGCGCTGTTGCGGGAGCAGCAGCGGGAACGGCAGCACCATTACCTACAACAGCAGCAGGGGCGGCAACAGGAGCAGCAGCAGCAGCAGCAGCAGCAGCAGCAAGAGTCTCACGAGCACGAGCATCAGCTCCTGCTGAGGCTAGGTGCGGGTGGCCAGACCCAAATCGCTGGGCTCCAGCTCGCCTCCCCAGGGGAGGCAGTTGCGGCGACGCTGGCGCAAACACTGAAGGGCGCCACGTCAGACAGTCTGCCAAGCGTGAGTGGCCGGGGCGAGGCGCCACCAGCAATGCCTGCCGATGCAGTTGCAGGGCAGCAGCAGCAGGAGCAGCAGCACCAGCAGCACCAGCAGCACCAGCAGCACCAGCAGCACCGGCACAGCAGGTCGCGCCAGACACGCGCCGCGCGGGCCGGCGAGTGGCGGCGCCCACCGCGGCGGCCGGAGGCGGCGACCGTGCGGCCAGACGCGGCAGTGGCTTCTGGCGGCAGCTGGGATTGGGGCGATCATTTGGATGCGGATCACTGGGGGTCGTCCAGCCGTTTGGGCGGCAGCAGCAGGCGCTCGTTGGGCGGCTACGCCGGCGAGGGCGGCGACGCCAGCGCGTGCGACGTCATAAGCGCCGTCGCCGCGCGGGGGGGCGGCGCAGCGGCCTGGCCGCGCCCGGCGCGTCCGCGAGAGTGAGTGTCAGCTCGTCGCTGCTGTGCTCGATGATGCTCGCCCTCGTGTTTTAAATGTCGACCTCGGCAGCTCTGGGGGCTTGACGAATCGCGACTGAAATTGCTGGCAGCGCATTGTCGGCACTGCTCGTGCGCCCTTGCACTATCTTGTGGCCGGCGCCGCCCCCAGCTCCTCGGCACAGCAGGCACCCGGACGGCTGCGACGCGCGCTCCTCTCCCGCCCACCCTTTCCCCATACCCCCCCCCCCAACGCACACCACTGGACACCCCATTTCCAGGAGACCCACCCCGGGCTGGACCCAGAGGGATCTGCGGGAGGGCTGGCGCCTCGCGCCCGACGGCCACGCGCGCACGCCGTCCGGCGCCGCGCTCCTCCGCGTGTCCGCCCGCACGGCCGCGCCCGCGGCCGCCGCGGCGGCGGCCGCGCTGTTGTCGAGGGAGGGACGCGCGGTGCTGTCGGCCACCGGCGGCGGGGGCGCCCTCAGGGCGCTGGAGGTGTTGGCGCATCTGGGCGCTGGCGTTGGCGGCGGGGCGCAGAACCCGTGGCAGCGGCGGCGGCGGCAGCAGCAGAGTGAGGAGCCGCATCAGCAGCACCAGCAGCACCAGCAGCACCAGCAGCACCAGCAGCAGCACGAGGAGCAGGGTCAGGAAGGGTGGTTGCGCGTCACGCTGGACAGGCGGCGGGGTGTTGGGGGCCGCTGCCAGGGGGATGCTGCCGTGTACAGGTTGGTTATGGAGGTGGTGCGGGGCCCCCTGGCGGCAGCAGCCGCCCCGGGATCTGGGGTTGGCGGCAGCAGTGGCAGCAGCGGCGACAACAGCAGGAGCAGGAGCAGGAGCGATCGCGGCGGTGGTCCCGGCCCAGAGGCCGGAGCCACAGCGGCCGCAGAGGCAGAGTTGTTGGCGGCTGCTGCGCCGACAGGCGAGCGCGTGCGAGGCACCGGGCGGCGCGGCGGCTTGGCATCCGGCACGGCCGCGGGCGTGGCCGCGGCCTTGAGCTTGGGCAGCCCCCCGGCATCTGCACTTGCCTGCGCAGACCCTGCAGGCGCCCCATGCATCCACGGTTGCAGCAGCAGCGACAGCGGCGGCCGCCGAGCGCGGGCGCCGCACAGCGGGGCCTGCAACGGGGCCGCGTGGCCTGCGGGGTGCGACGGGCTTGGTGGCAGCAGCAGGGGCCGGGTCCTCGGCCGCCCCGGCATGCACACGCATGCGGCCGTGGCAGCCGAAGCGGAACCCCTTTGCTCTTCGAACAGGCCCTCCGGGACACATGGGGCCGCATCCGCGGGTAGCGGCGGCGGCAGCGGCGGCGGCGAGGGGGGTGCGCTGACGTGGCGGGTGCTGCGGCGGCATTTGTGGGGAGCCCCGCGCGTCTGTCTGAGCGGCGGCGCGGCCGAGGCGGCGGGCGCATTGGAAGCTGCGCTGGCCGCGCACGGCGCCGCCCGCGCGGCCGTCGCGCACCCGCAGCACGCGGCGCGCGCGCTGGGCGCCGCGCTGCTCGCGGCGCGGCGCGCAGA